AGAATGTTAATTTTCTACATTCTCCTAAGTGAGAATGCTTCAAATGTAGTGAATATGCGCTACATTCTCTTTCTGATGTTTTTGAAATTCTTTTTATGGAATTGCTTTTGGCCACCACTAGAAAAATTCTTTTTCACTGCCTTCAGCAGAATTGCAAGGAGACCCACAGAGGTCTGTGTTCATCTGGCGAAAGCATCCCTCCCCAGGGTTCTAGCTGTACCCATGCAGCAGGATGGAAGTGGATGCAGAGCTCTTCTGGCTCTCAGCAGATCATACTCTACCGACCCTCTCACCTTTTTAATGCTAGGATCAAGGAGACTTGAATTAGAACTGAGTTTTCAACCTCCTTTTGGGAGATACTCAGAGTCAATCATCCCATGCCTTAAGTTTTCATTTAACTCAGGCACCACCAACCCCATTCCACCTCAGACCATGCTTTTCCCCTGAACTCAAACCCATCTGGTTCTGAATATCCCCCAATGCAATTCCATCTGCTCCCTTTCCAACACTTGCGCTGTGCAGTCTGACAACCTCTGACACTTCACCCCACTTCTCCACATTCTCCCTCTCTTTGTTGAACACTTCTTTCCCCTTTTTGATCTAATTGAAACCTAGAAATACCACAAGGACTCAGCTTTCTCAACACCTACAATATCCCGACACACAAAGTAGATGCCCAGAAAATGTACAAGAATGATGCATAGTATCATTAATTTTAATTTAGACCCTGGGCAGACAGACTAAATAAGATGAGAGCATAATTAGATACTAACAGGATTTTTACGTGTTAATGCCCAGTCTTCAAATCAGGTAAAAGACCATAGCTGAAGGAAGTGATCAGTTACCAGTTTCAGCATCACTGCCAAAGAATTAGAGCCGACACCAGCTTCTATGCAGAAATGAATATTGAAAGAAAAGAGATTTCACACCAAGTTTCAGCAAACACTAACACATAACGAAGTGTGAAAACCACAAAAAGGCAGAACATACATGAAGACATACCCCCAAAAAGCCCAAAGATAGAAAGAAGAAAAAATAGGAGTTTACACAACCCTAGAGTACAGAGCTGTACTCTGGAGCACTGGTGAATGTGAAGTTCACTGTTTGGAATTTACTTAAATGCAAAAAAATGTTTTGTCCATGAAGTTAGATGGACATTTACACATCGTGAAGAAAGGCATACAAAAAGGAGCAAGAAAGGTAAAAAGATAAACAAGAGGTGGTTATAGATAAAGGCAGGTAAATGAAATGGTCATAGGAGGACAGTGAACAAATGCATTACTGACATCTGTCCAAATGATCAGAGGGGAGAACAGATGTATAGATAATTCCCAGACCCTGCTTCTAAATGCCATGACAATACAGCCCATCCTCATATACTAGTGATAAAGGAAAAGTCACAACATGTATTATTGATGGTTCTTAGGCACAGAGAATCGTGATCTTTTAGCTCCATGTTGAAAGAATTCCTGCAAAGTGGTGTGAAAGTGAATCAGATAGTGGGTCACGGAACTGATAAGCAGCTGGTCCCTAAGGGAATGAAAGAAACACTACATCATTTTTCTTTCTACTGGGCAGCACTTACATGCTGACAGGTGTTTCTCTTTCAGACTTGAATTATATTCCTACAAGTAAGCTAAATGTTTATGGCTAACCTTTTTTTTCTGTCTTGGCACTGAAAGTACAAATGAACATTTAATGTCTTCACTCGGTGTGCTGAAAAATATTTGAATTTCATGTGTTTGTTTTGCAGGTCTAATTGGTAACCACAGGTTTCTGTTGTGTAAATCTCCCACTAGGGTCCATTTCAAGGTGACAACATGTTTCCCTGAGAGAATCTGGGTAGCATTCTGCATGAAAAGCTCTGTGAGCCAGTGCAAGCTGGCTCAAATGGTCAAGTGTAACTTACCCCCTCAGGAGGTTCTCTGCACAGGTAGCTCTGAGAATCATTACTGTGACCAGTGCTTAGACAAATTTAATGTGCATAGGAGTCACCAGGGGACCTTGTTAAAGCTCAGGTTCTGATTGGTCAGTGTTGCTGATCCTTAGCAAGAGACACGAATAGATTAAGAAAAACGGTCCTTCTCACTCAGCTTTACCACTTCCTGTGATGTTTCAGAGGGAGATTTCCTAGAGAAGTCGTAAACTATATGTCCACAAGATAGATGTTTTCCCTTTTAATAAGTTATATTCTACTTTTAAATTTGAATCAGGAGTCAACATCATAAAAATGTATATTCCCAGCTTCTGGGGGATGGCGCATGTACAGCGATAGCGACTGTAAGAAAAAGAGATGTGACGGTACTCTGCCCCTGCCCAGGACACTGTCTTTCTTTTAACAACTGTTGCCTCTTGGCCATCGTCATAGTTTTGTTTTTCATACCTCAGCTCTGCAGAAATGTGAAAGGTATTCATTCTTAGGTTTTTACATGGTACATATACTTTCCTCCCCAGCTGCAGTGACCCATGTTCATCTTTTTTCCTGCCATTCCTCACAAGGCAACTATATATTCTTAAAATGCTTTACCCAGTTTTCTTAAAAATTCACCATCTTTCTCACTTTCAAGCTTTGCAGTGACCCCTTGCTCCTAGAACATACTCCATTCTGTGCTGGAAGCAGTCTACATTATTTTTCAAAGCTGAGCTGGACTGTCACCACCTCAAGGAGGCCTTCCGGACTCTCCTCTGCTCTTCTCACATCATGCTAGATCCCCTTCCATCCCAGTCCACTTGCCTTCCTTGGGGAATCTCCTCTTCTCTGAGACCCATAAAACCCTAGTCAAGCTGTCATCTTTGTGTTCCCATGGTAGAAGGTTTTGCCATATAGGAAACGCATTAGCTTTATCAAATAAAAAACCATGAATTAATTTTCACTCCAAGATTGTAATCTCTTGAAAACTTTTTTTTAATCAAGAGAGTTTTACAATTATTATCCTGTAATATACAAGCTAATTATCTTTCCATAGCTATCTTTAGCTCTTTTGCAGGTTCTGTCTTCCCCTGAACTTCAATATTGTTATTTCTCAGTAACAGAATATAATTTGTTGTATAAATCTGATCCGGGACAAACACAGTCCACTTCAAATTGATTATCTTTATGCTTTGCTTCATATCCTCACTGTGTAATCATTTTTTCCCAATGCATTTGACTAACACATTTTACTTTCACATTAACCCTATAAAATACGCAAGCAAAATATTCTTTTTCTTTCTGGTATTTGGAGTCTAAAGTGAAATGTCCCCCATGAAGTGGAAAGCAAAGAAAACAGAATGCTTGAGAAAATCCTTGGCAGTGCCCACCTTGCTCAGTAGGGAAAACAGCTGCATGATGCTCCCTGAGCATCATTCCTCAACATGGCTCAGGTTCGTTCTTCTTGCACACTTCTCTAATTCTCTAGTGTTTTATTGGAAAAACTGTGGGCCAGGCTTGTTGAGTTTACATGTATTAGAACCAAAGTAGTTATCCATGCCTTTTGATTTCCATTGAAAGATTCCATAGTGCCTAATTATGTTCACATTTACAAACAGAACTATAACCATCTAGCAGTACTAATATGCTTTGTAAATTAAACTTTTAGAAACACTTATAAATGACCAAATGTGTGTGTGTGTATTGTACTGGGGGTTGAGCAAAGACCTCACTTATGCTAAGCAAGCCTTTTTACCATGCTATACTGCTATATACTATATACTGCTATACCTACAGCAGTCTTGTGTCCTTTTATCAAAAATCAACTTCTGTATAAGGATCCAAGTCTCCCCTCAACTTGATGGAGTTAGTTGCACTGGACAACTTTAAAATGCCCAAGTGCAGTTATTCCTAAGTGCAAGAAAGTTTCTAATCTATAAATCAATTTATGACTTTCCACTTTAAGTGTCACTTTCAAATCAATACTAGATAATCAATTTGTTTTTCTTTCGTAGAAATACATTTCTCGAAACACACAGATAAGATGCATGTTCAACACGGACCCATTAACAGTGTATTCAGTGTAAATTAATAGAAAAAGCAATACCAGAAAAACGAACGCAAGATTTCTACTTGGTAATAGTGGAATGAAAGAAATACCCTCTGTGCTTCTGCAAGGAACAGCAAAGAGGTGGAAATGGCACAGCTTGAAGGCATAATGGCCCATTTCTCTTACATTTTCAAATCATTTTCTCAGAATTTTGATGTGGTCTCAAGAGTACACTCATTCATAACAATGGGGTACCACCTCTACTTTCTCCCCAGGTATACCGTGAACAATGACCATGGAATTGCAAAGGGTCCCTGCCTCTCTGTGAAGGCTGGAAGGGAGGATAGCCTCCTCTCTATCCCTACATCCCTGACTCCAAAGGTTTCTTCGCCACTCTGCTCCACTGTCAGAAAGAGAATTTCATTTTCCCTTGCTAATCAGGAAGGAGTCTGTTTCCCGTGTCCCTTCTCCCTGCATGTATCCATTTTTAAAAAGAATGACTAGTCCAAGATATTTTTCCTACAAACATATATTTGTATTTTCAACATATGATTACTCACTAACACATAAAAGAAACTGTGTGGAAGTCACACAAATAACGGAAAAGACAGCTTGGTTGTTAGAGGAAAATGAGAGGATATGATTTTTAACTTTGTACAATCATTTGAACTGTTTTCTTCCCTGGTTCTTAAATTTGTAAGTTTTTTAAATTTAAAAATAGAATAAAACTGGCAATTACGAAAAGGGTCCTGAAACAAACAGAAGCAGTGTGACTGCTCTGGACCTTTCTGAAACTTTACCCCAACCTGCATTTCTTAACCACAAGGAGCTAACGCTGTGTAACAAATGTGAAACCCAGAAGCAGCCAAAAAGAAAACATTTATTTCCAAGTGAGCTCAAGTGGGGAAGTTTCCAGAAAGGAGATGAGATTCATCTGACAGCCACAGCAGTGTGCAGAGGTCAGAAGAATGTGGAGTGTGCGCGTGGGGGACCCCTGGAAGGCTGGAGGCGACTGGAGAGGCGTGGGGCGCGAACTCTTACCCCCCAGCCAGTTGTCCGAGACGTACTGCAGCATGGTGACCGGGATGCAGAAGAAGGTGATCAGCAGGTCACTGAGCGCCAAAGAGCAGATGAAGATGTTGGTGACGGTGCGCATGGCCTTGCTGCGGGTCACCACGTAGACCACCAGCGCGTTGCCAAACAGCGCCAGGGCGAAAATGAGCGCGCCAGTGAGCACGAAGGCCAGCTTGGCGCGCGCGGGCAGCTCCGGGGTGTAGACTAGCGGCCGCAGCCCGTACAGCGCGATGAACTGCTCCCGCGTCAGGTTGTGGTCCCGCAGCAGCCTGGAGAACTGCTCCGGGGTGATGTTGAGCGCCCGCATGTCGCGCGCTCCCGGGGCTCGGGGCGCAGCCCGCTACCGCCCGGCCATCGCGCGCAGGGCATCGGGGCTCTGGCTGCACCCCGCGAGGAAGGCAGCGCACAGATCAAAACCACAATACAGAGGTGGGGACCAGCGCGTGAGAAACTCGATCCTCCGTCCAAAAATATTCTCAGCTCAAGAAAAACAAAAGTTCTTCCCGGGTTCTGGGTTAACGCAGGCGCTGCGATCCGGAGAGCCGAGCGCCACGAGAGGATCCGCGGTGCACCCCGCTGGCTCCGGATTTCTAGACTCGCGATGCGCAAGGCGCCGGCTGCTTTTGGGGAGCGGCAGAGGGTGGGGCCGAGCCCATCACACGCCACCCTCTCCTCCGCCTCAGCAGCCCGGGCGCCGCCTCCCACTTGCTCCCACAGGCCAGGAAACACGCCCCGAGTTCTCCAACCTCCCCGCCCAGCGAACTCCTCCAGACCCAGGTCATGCTTAGACGCAGAATTTTCTGTAGGCTTAAGGTTTCCCCTCTTGCAACAGTCAGCCACTGCTGGATCGATTTGAAGTTATTTTGTGTATTAAAAAGAATGGCAGAAGCCAGGGAGATGCAGTGATGGTTCAGAGAATCCCACGTATCTGAATTTACCCACCAATTACATCTTAATTATGATACAACACGAAAGCAGTGATTTGACACAAATACAACACTTGTGCACAGTTCTGAGTCTGTTTAACCCAAGAACTGATTCATGCGACCACCACCAAAAGCAACATATAGAATTCTCATCACCTTAACCATTTCTACCATGGAGGCTCCTTTTCACCTGGCTCCTTCCTCCTCCATGTCTGACCCTAGCAATCACTGATCTGTCTGTTACACAACTCGGTAATTTTATCAGAAGGTTTGCAAATGAAGCCATACAGTGTGTGTAAGCTTTGGATGACAGTAACATACTGTAAGTTTACGTCGGCTGCGTATATTAATAGCTATTCCTCTTTATTGCGAACCATGTACCACAGTTTATTGATTCTTTCACTTACTGGAAATTTTGCCTGTTACCAGTTTTGGGCTTTTACAGATAAAGTAGGAAGAATCAAATACTGATTTTTATGTTGATACACCAAGAACTTTGATTGTTGAGTCAGTGATGTGTGGATTCACTTTTACATTCTGTGAAAGTAATTTCCAGAGTCACTGTATCATTATGCATTTCTATCAGTAATGCATGAGAAATTCACTTTCTATACATACTTGCTAGAATTTGATATTAGCATCTTTGTTTGTGCTAATACTAGGTAGTGATATCTCACTGTGATCTTCATGTGCATTTCCCTAAATTATTTGCTATTTTAGTATAGTATCTTCTTTGGTGAAATGTCTTCCCAAATGTTTTGTCCATTTTCTTCTTTTATTTTAAAAACAAAATAAGAATAAGAATGATTATACAATTTAAAAGCGAAATAAAAGGAGATTAACACTGGTTAATATATTGTACATTGTTATCTTCAAAGTAGTTCAGATTACGAGATACAGGCATGGGAAAATGATCAAACAATCGAACAATGAAAGCACAAACTGTTCACCCTTTGTCCATTTTCTAATTAAGCTTTTATTTGTTGTTCAGATGAGAATTCCTTTTCTATTCTAGATACAAGTCCTTTGTGAAGCAATTTGTAAATATTTGCTCAAATAGTCTGTAGCTTGTTATCTGCAGCTTATCTTCCTGACAGTGTCTTTAACAGAACAAAACTTTTGTCATGTTTTGTCATATTTGTCCACTTTTTATTTTAATTATACATTTCGTGTTCATTCCAGTAACTGTTCACCAATTCCTAAAATTTCGGGGGCCCTCTGTTATGTTCATTGATAAAAGTATAGAGACTAGCTCTCTTCCATGGTCTTAATTATTGTAACTACATGCAGTAATCTCACAATGGAATAGAGTCATTTTTCCTACATCTTGTGCCTGCTTATGCATATAAATTTTGCAATGTGTGCATCTACAAAATACCTTGCTATCTTGAGCATATTTCCCTTCATGTATTTATCTTCCAATGATGTTTTACAATTTTCACATATGAACATATTTTGTTAGATTTCATATCTAAGCATTTTTTGGTATATCAAAATACTTCAGGTAATATCTAAGCATTTCATTTGTAAATACTATATTTGTATATTTTGGTTACTTGTATTCATTACTAATATTTAGAAATGTGATTTGATTTTTATATTTGTCTTGAATTTTACAGTCTTGATATACTTGATTTTTTTTTCGATATAGTTCTTGGAATTTTCCACACAGATAGTCATTTCCTCCGAGGAGAGGAACAGTTTCATTTCTTTATTTCTGATATGTATGTTTTGCTTTATTTTTTGCCCATTTGCAATGGCTAGAGAATCCAGTACTACATAAATGTCCCTGATGAGAGTTGACCTACTTCACTTGCCCCTATCTTGGGGGACACATTCCACCTTCTGTCACTATTAAGTAAAATGTTAATGAGAGATTTTCTTTATGAACTTGAGGAAGTTCTCCTTTACTTTTTTTGGTTGGTGCCATTGAATTGCATCAAATGCTATACTGCATTAATTAATATGACCACATGATTTTTTTTCATCTTCAACCTGGCCGATTACATTGACTGACCTTTGAACACTGGATGAGCCTTGAATATCTAAGATGAAATCTACTTGGTCCTGGTGTGTAATTCTGTTAATATATTTCTAAATTCTACTAGCTATGACTTCTAAATACGTCCAAGCTTATCTTCATGAGGAATATTAGTCTGCAATTTTTCCTATTTTTGTATTATCCTTTCTTTTCCTATTTTAGTATTCAGGGAAAGAAACCTCATAGAATGAAATGGGAAATAGTCATTTTTGGATGAACTTGTATTGAATTTATATTAATTCTTATTTAAAACTTTGGTGGATTTCTCTAATGAATCCATCTGGACCTAAAGATTTCTTTTTTAGGAGTGTTTAAATTATAAATTAAAATTTGATGTTACTACAGGGATATTCAAAATACCTATTTCATACTGAGAAATTATGTTAATTCATAATGGTATTCCTTGTTGCAGGTTTGAGGGATGTTTCTTCTTGTTTTAAGTATCTAGTATTAGAATATTTCCCTCTTGTTTTAGCTATATCCCACAAATTTCATGTGTTTCTATATTTTCACACTGCTGAATATTCATTTGACCCATTGGTTATTTTTAATCTAGTTTTCAAGGGTTTCTTAGTTTGACTCTATAGTGATTAGAGAACATACTGTGTATAATTACAGTTCTTTTAAACTTGTTGAAGTTCTTTTTATGACCACAAATATTACCTAGTTTATATGTGCTCCAAGAACATTTGAAAGCAATGTGTATTCTGTTGTTTTTGGCTGTAGTGTTCTAATGCCATTGACCAGATTCTATTGGCTGAGAGCATGGTTGTGTTCTCCTCTATCTTTTCTGGATTTCTGTATATTTTTTCTATTATTTGCTGAGAAGGGGCATTCACGTGTAGTTGTGGATTTGTCTTCTTCCTTCTCTTCTATCAGTTTTTGCTCCACATGTATTATATACTTTTGCTTGGTGAATGGGATGAGGATGTACTCTTGGCACACTGACTCTCATCATTAAGAATATCTTATCCTTTTCTCTTCCAAATAACGTCTTTAATTTTACAATTTACTCATAATAATATAACCATTTCTGCCTTATTTTGCTTAAAGCTTGCATGACACGTCTTTTCTATCAAAAAGAGAGAGGTAGAGGGAGACAGGGACAGAGGAACGGAGGGAGACAGAAAGACAGAGAGACAGAGAGACTCTGGGGAGAGGTGGAGAGTGAGAAGAGGGGGAGAGAGAAAGAGATAGAGGGAGAGAGAGAGAGGTTCTTACAGTCAACATAACATATTTTTGGGGTATGGTTGGTTTATTTGTTTTTATTCCATACTACCTCTTTCTGTTTTTCAATTGGTTTATTCAGACCATTTCTATTTGATGTCACTATTAATATGTTAAGATTCAAGTCTTCCATTTGTTTTCTGTTTGTTCTTCCATTAATTTCTCTGATTTATTTTTCCCATCTTCCAGTGAACTTTGTGAATAATTTTTAGCATTCTATTTAGATTCATCAACAATGTTGACAAGCATGTATGCACTTCTTTTGGTACTAGAGATCAAACTCACACTTTCCACTTGCCAGGCAGGTGTTTGTACTGCTGAGCTATATCCCCAGCCCACAAGAATGTTTCTTTGTATACCTTTTTGAAGGACTTCTCTAAGTACTAGTCAGATATACACCTCTTCACAATGTAATGGTATCAGTGTTTACCAGTTTGAGTCAAGGGTAGAGGTCTCACCCTTGTTCCTTTAATCTTCTCCAAATATAATTGTTTATAAAATTGCCTCCCCATACATGTAAGTCCACATTAGTGTTATAATTTTATCTTTAACCTTACAATTCAAGAAACATAAGAGAGGAAAAATATATTGTATTTTTTCATATTCTTATTCTTTCTATTATTGTTTCTTTCTTCTTGATGCTCTTGGATGGTCCTTCTTGCTGTTTATAAGATCTTTTCATAGTCTTTAGTTTTCATGTTTAGTTATTATATGATTTCTTTGGTCTTATCCTATTTGAAATTCTTAAATTAATAGGTTTAATTCGTTTACCAAATTTGGAGAATTTAGGGTCTTTCTTTCCATACTTTTAAAACTTTACCTTTCTCCTCTCTTTCTGGTACTCTGATTACATTAACATTAGACCTTTTGTTATCATTCCACAGGTGCCAAATGAAACAGCACATTTGGGAAAGGCCATACCTTTATTTACATTGTTAAGACTTATTACTATCTATATTTATATTTTAAGTTCATTTATTCTTTCCTTTGTTCTCTCCATTCCAATGTTGAGTCCATATATTGAGTTTTGTACTTTATTTATTCTTTTTCCAGTTCGAAAACTTCTTCTTGGTTCCTTATGTCTTCTCTCTTTATATCTTATTACTTCTTTATGTCCTTATGTCTTTGCTAAGACTATTTGTTTTTACTTGTTTAAAATATGTCTGTTATTACTTGTTGAATTATTGTATGAAGATAAGTTTTAATTATCAAAAGTTACCAGTAACCAGCATACGTTAAAATGAGATGTCAAAACTTTTCACATTCAAGCTCTGTCTCCCCAAAATGACCATTAAAATAAACCTTAACCATTATTAATAAAGTCATTCACAGTACAACAAGAAGGACAAATAAACTAAAAGAAGCACTGTTGTCTCTAAAAATCAAAATACAATTGTATTTATGATGCATCAAACAAAACCAACTACAAAAATAGAACGCTTCTAGTTTTATAATTATACTTTATCCTAGAAAACAGCTATCCATATCAGAAAACCCATCAGGGGTCAATTTTTGGGGGAGGGACATGAACACAGTGTACTTTCATTAAATGAAAGTGAGGGAGTTGGTCACGT